TTTTTTTTCCTCTAAGGGTTTATTGACACACCATTGTGAAAATGAGCTGCTTTCATCAGGAGTTACTCTCTAGTTGGGCACCTTTCAGTTGGCTACAACCCAAGTGCTGCTGTTTAATATGAAAGGGCACATGAATGTACATCTTCCTTCTCTGCCTTGCTTCCAGCCCCTGCATGTCTCCACCAAACTGATACAGCCCAATTCCACCAGGGACTATCTGGCAGTTGGTGAAGTCACATTCTCATGAACCCGGTGCAAGAAGATGCAGATCCACAATTTTCACTTGGAAGAAACACTGACAGGAGTTTACCTCACAAAGAAAGGAAAACTTTGTAAAGATATTTAGACACATAAAGCAGCAAGCAGTCCCCAGAGGGGATATATAAACCAACCATTTGGTGCATATCTGCATCCTCAGATGACTCCATACTTTTAAAGAGCATTTCTCTGATGAAATTCCACTTCCTAAAATACTTAACTGTTGTTTAGAATTAAAGTTGAAGTAATGTGACACATAAACATAAATAATTACAATTTCATCAGCACACAGGAACAGCTCTGATCTTTAAAAATGGAAGCACAGCAACTTGGGCAAAAAGAAAATCAGGCTCATTTTTTCATCATGTCTCAGATTAAAGTTATATATTAGCTAAAATACAGTGTTATTACTAAACCCTTAGGCTTCAGAGCACATCATGCCACATGTTCATTTGGCTGTTAAAAAGAAGCAACCAAATGATTAGCATTTTTTCCAAGGACAGTTGAGATTAATAGTTTGAAGTCATTTCTTTAATTTAACCACGGAACTTGAACATTGAAATTAGAGTCAACTTTAATAACATTTTATTTCAGAAAACTCTAAGTATGGTAGTCCTTGAGCACTGATCGTAAGATGGATAGAGCCCTCACTGTTAGCAGTCTTGTCTATAATTGGAAACAAACCCCAACTATTAAATTTGCAGAATTTGATAGCAGTACAGCCAACACTTGTCCCTGCAAAGACCCAGAAACCAGGAGTGAAACCGTCACCCTACCAAAATCAGTAAGCGGTTTTCTGTGACTTTTATGGTACCGAGCAGGATCTATTTGTTCAACAAAGATACCCAGTGCAGATGCAGCTGGGACTGGTGAAGGACATGACATCTCTGTGCCTGACTCATGGTAGTTCCTCTCTGCTTTAAGACATCCATTTTCTGAACAGAATCAGAAACCCTTTTATCCCCATTTCCTAGACAAAAAGAAGAGACAGGGGATGAGAGAGCAGTAATAGAAATCCTAACTCACACACAGGAAAAAAAAATCCTCCCTGCTCTTCCAAGCGAACACAGGCTTTGCAGGCACCGCAAACACCCCAACGGGACTCAGGGAATTCCAGTTACCCTCAAATTGTGTTCTTTTCTTTTTTTTGGATGCACTGAAATCCTTTCCTTCTGTGATGCCTCTCCCTCACTCCCAGCTTTAAGATGCCTCTCACTCTGCCTGCTAGCACAGACAGACAAGTGACTGCTTGAAGATTTTGGAAAGCTGGGTCCAGGCCCCGCTAACCACAAACCCACTAAGAGATAGCAAAGCTCTCCCTGGAGTTTCCCCCCCAGGAGCAAACAGCAAGCTCAGCTCTTACAGCCTGGGAAGGCTCACTTGACATTCTTTATCTGCAAGGACTCCATTAGCAACTTCCCGTAACGTAAAGCATATTTTAAAACGTCACTGAAAATAAGGGATAATTAAAATGTAAGAAGTGTCATCTTCATAAAAGCCACAGGACTAAATAAAGTCTTGGAGGGCCCTCTCCTGTACATTCTGTATTTCTCTACGTGCACAACGCACCTTCCTCTGTAAAATCTTTAATAGACAAAGCCAGTCTCCTCTGTACCTTTAAAAATATCTCAAGTAGTATTTGATTAGTTCATAAGGAAAAGCTCCTAGTATAATTTTTCCTCCAAGCAGAAGACAGTTACATGCAAAATTAACTCTCAACTCAGAACTACGAAGACTCAAAATCCAAATCCTATTTAGGCAGTTACCAGGTCAGCAACAATTTGATTCATTATCAAAGAGCTAATCTAGACTTGAGAAAATTACTTTCATTTATGCATCTAGCCCAAGAAAATGGTAGCAATTGTCATTCTTTAGATGACAGGATTGTCACAGCAACAGCTAAGAACTGCACAAATGTATACTTTTTCCTTTACAAAAAAATATTTACCCTCTCTTGGCAAAGCACAGAGAAATCAGGTAGGAAGGATATTTTCATAACACTGATATTTACGTCTTACTGATTTTTGGTACTGTGAATTTAGATTAATGAGCAAACAGACCCCACGGAAACAACCTCTCTTACCTTGTCTCGGTTAGATTTATTAAGCAATGCAATTACCAGTGACAAGCCCACAGAGAAATGCACTAAACACTTCAGAAAGAGGAAAACCTTACCCACATATTTTTTTTTGTGCCAGAATGACTCCTTTCTCTTATTGCAACCAAAGGAACAGCAACAAAAATACCTACCTAAACAGTGAAAACGTATTACAGCCCCCCTAACAAAGGAATACTGCAAAGACTTATTTTCTACATGGTTCATTTATTGTTGCTGAACAAAGAAAAGAATAGCCTTTATGTTTCCTCACAAAGTAAAGTGATTTGCAGGGGAGAAAATAAATAGTGACCTCTCTTTCATTTAAAGGGAGCGAGATATGAAGCAGAGGGAAGAGAGATGCTTGTAAATTACCACCAAAACAACAAACACTTTAGTTCTCTAATCCTCTCTAGAAAATGCTATGAAAAGGTACAGAAACATTCGTGGTGGGTACTAAATGGTTAATATGTGGCCGGGATTCCCCGCCAACACAAATTCCGATGATTTGCCATTGGATGTTGTCAGCACCGATGTCCTGTTATAGTCCACCGCGATCCTCCCTGCAGCTTTCCTGCCTCGGGCATCTCTGATGTACGGGATCAGAGTCTGGAGCGTCCCCGTTCATCACGATGTTTCCCTCACCACCCCTTGCCTGCACACACACCGGGTACTGCTGCTCTTCAGAAGGCGGCACACAGGAGCAAGCAAGTCACCGAGGTCTAACATGGTAGCTCCGTACAAAAAACTAAATGCACAAATCCCTTCTGGAAAAGAGTTTGCTTTCCAAGCAAGCCTTTTAGCCATGAACAGCCCTGAAACATTCCCAAGTATTACACAGCTGTTTTATGGCTTCTGGTGTTAGAGAGTTTACCAACACACTGCAAACGTCCACAGACCTACTACTCTCTGCTTGCATCCATCTTCATATTCCAACCATAAAACGCAAATATTATCTGGTTCAAACCTTGCTGATCTAAATCAGCAAGCCATACAATACTGTCATATTAAGCCGACATCAGAGCTTGTTTTCCTGCAGCGTTCCTGGAGCCTGCCTTCTAGATGTAATTACTGTACAATATATATAAGAACCAGAGAGAAAGGCTTCACTCTGAGCGCTGAAATTGAGAAGAAATCAATACAAAGAAGATAAATGTTTCGTCAAAAGCTGCAGAGGTATTAACCCTCTCTCCAACTTAGTTTCTTTCTGCTTCAAATCATTTTACCATGTGAGAAGCTGCTGGAAGGAACGGGATGTGGTGGGTCTTATCTGCTTAGCTCTGTACTTGGCAATGGAAAAAAATTTAATTCAGAAAGAAAAATAAAAAATTATTAAAAAAATAAATAAAAGGAAACACAAGTGGAAGTTCCTATAAAGCCTCCGGAATTTCATTCTTTCTTTTCACACTCGCACACCTGGAGGCAGCGAACAACCGGGGCTGTCTCAGGAGCCCACGGAAGGGACGCGAGGAGTCGCGGGGTGGGGAGGTGGACGCACCTCCCTGGGGATGGGGGCTCGCCCTGCCCGGGGCGCCTGACCCCGTACGCACCCCCACCGCGGCCCCCCGCGCCGCCACCGCCGGGAGGAGGAGGGGAGCGCAGGGAAAAGCCAACAGCCCAAGGAAGCGCTGGGGGTGCCGAGCCGTGCCCGCCCCGGGGCGACCCGCGGGACACGCGCGTGTCGCGGGCACGCGCCGGGCGGGGCCCGCGCTGCGCGCCCGCGGAGGGGCGCGCGCCCCGCGGGGGCTCCCGGCGGCGCCGCAGCGCCCCTGGAGGGCGGCCCGGGAACTGCGCGGGGAGGCGGCGGGAGCCACGAGCCCCGAGAGTTCCCCCGGGCCGGGGCCGCGCGGGGGGGATGCGGATCCCGGATCCCGACGCGGGTCCCAACGCGGGCGAGGGCACACTCGGGCCCCGTTAAGCTGCGCCCCTGCAGCTCGACGCGGGGCGAGAAGCGATGCACGGACACCGGCCGTGCGGGGCGAAGTGGGGGGGTTGGACAGCGCGGCGGGCGCCGGGAGCCCCCCAACCGCGCAGCCCCCTCTCCCGCGGGAGATGAGCCGTGGTGGCCGCACAGACCCAGTCCCGGAGCGGGGCGGGCGCGCAGCCCCGCGGCCCCCCGCCCTGCCAAGGTCAGCACGCGGCACGGCGAGACACCCACCGCGGACACGAGTGGGGCGGGGAGGGCGCGGACCCGGCACCGCGAAGTTTGTGGCGGGGGGCGCGGGGCTGCAGCGCGGGGTCGGAGTGCCGAGTCCAGCTCCCCTTCGGGGCGGCGAGCGGCGGTCCCGCAGCACAAAGGGAGCTGTAAGCAGCCCCACGGAAGAAGGGCAGCGTGCGAGGAACCCCCTCCGCCCGGCCCACGCTGCCGGGGGCTGCATTGCACCGGAGAGAGGGGACACGGCGCCGGGAGCGCGGAGCCGAGCCCGGGCACCGCTCACGGCCCCACTCGCGGGCAGCGCTGCCCGCAGCCCGGAGGGTGCTGCGGAGCGGGGGGAGACCCAGCGCTGGGGCCGCCCGGGCAAAGGGGCCCCCGCGGTTCCCAGGCGCATCCTCCGCACTCGCTGCGTGCCCCGCCGGCACCGCACGGGGGTCGCGGACACGTGTGGCGGAGGCACCGGGAGCCCCCCCAGCCGCCGCGCTCACTCACCGGGGAAGCACACCACATCATGGAGCACGGAGCTGGTGATTTTCAAGAAAAAGATCCACCAACACGGTTGCAGTAGCCTCCGCATGTCCAAAGCCGCACATCGAAAGGGGAGAGGGGCTAAAATAATTAACACACGGGGGAAGGGGGGAAGGGGGTAAGAGGGGGGTGGATGAGGAGGGGGGGTAAGAAAAAAAAAAAGGGGAGGAAAGAAAAAAAAACTTGTTGAAAATAAGTTTCTCCCCGCACCCCTTCTTCCTGCGGGAGAAAGCTGGGGGGCTCCTGCTCGCCTCCTCAACGCGGGGGGGAAGGAAAAAAAAAAAAAAATCCCGCAAAGCGCGGGGCAGGGGGAGCACAGCGAGGAGCGGCGGCGGGGCGCGGGGACCCCCCCGCGCGGTGTGTGCGCGGCTCAGGCGGGCAGCGGGGCGCGCCGCATGCCGCGGAGCGAGCGGGCGCTCAGAGCCGCCTCCGCGCACGGCCGGGCGGGCGGCGGGCAGCCGGGGCCCCGGCGCGCTCCATCCTGCCGTACAGGAAGTGGCGGGCGAGCCCGGATCCTGGCGGAGACTTTAAAGCGGGGCGAGGGAGAGGAGGGAGAGGGAGAGAGAGAGAGGAGGGAGCGGGAGCGCGGCGCGCTGGCGGCGAGGCGAAGCGAGGCGGCGGCGCGCCGGGCGCCCCGGCGGCGCGCCCCCGCCGCCCTTAAAGCGGCCGCGGCGGCGGGACGGGGGCGCGCTCGTGTGCGCGCACCCCGCACCGCAGCCGCTGTGTGAGCGTGTATGTGTGGGTATATGTGTGTGTGTGTGTGTGTGTGTACCGGAGGGGTCGGGTTTGGGGAGCACCGAGCCGCGGCGATCCGCCGCTTGGAATTTCGGATTCCGCTCTCGCTCCCGGCGGTGTCTGTTTGGAGTTACTCGTGTCATTGTGCCGCGTGCGTGCTGCAGGGGGCCCCGGGATTGGGGATGGGTGTCCGTGTGCGCCCTTGCTCCCCCCCGCACCACTTCCAGCTGTGAGCATCACTCTGGGGACTGCCAGAGGTGTCCCCCACCCCAAATCCCCAAAATCACACAGTTCTTCGTCCCCTTCCATTCTCTGTATCACTTCCATACACTGTGTCACTTCCATACCCTTCCATATCCTGTATCACTCTGCGCACTCTGAGGTTGCCCCCACAACACCACACAGCTCGATCCTGCTCTGGGAATTGCCAGGGATTCTCATCAAAACCATACTGTTTGTTTTTTTTTCTCCTCCAATAATATTTATCTTTTGGGGTATTGCAAGAGACACATCCAACCCCACCACCCTATAATCGCAGTTTTTCCTCCCCTAGTAATGCACATCATTCTGGGTATTGCCGGAAGCATCCCACAAAATTGCCCCCAGTATTGTGAATTTTGCCACGTACTTCCAGAGAGCCACCTCAAAATGAGGTAGTTGTCAGATGTTTCTGCAAAGTCAGGTGAAAGCTGTCCCAAGCCACGCTGCATCCACAGTCCCCCCTGGGCAGCTTTTGAGTGACTGATAATTTTGCACAGGAAACAGAAGCAGAAAATGGTGTGAATTCAGGATGAAGGGATGGTTGATTGTACTTGCTATTTCCTGGCTGTGCTCTGCTCTGCTGAAGCTTAAATTTCATTCAGAAATAGTTTTTGTCTGTTTCTTTGGTAATTATTTCCATTACAGGGATTCTGTTTCAGAAGGGAAAGAGTTTGGCTGGGTTTATCAGTGAGTGTTGTCTTCAGCTCTGGCTCTGTTGTTTGCTGTGACCAGCTCCTCTTTGCTTACCTACAAACATTCCACATTTGTTGTGTTTCCTGAGGAGAAGAGGCAGTGGGCAGGAGAAGGAACAGAGTAGGAAAATTCACAAGTCATTTGTGGAGTGGTGGTGATTTTCTCTCCCCCTTCCTCAGCTTAGGGGTCACTAGAGCAGAGCCCTTGGGTACTTACCATGCTGCTTCCTGACTGTTTTGGAAGAGACTGTGGCTTTGTGTCCATCCAGGTTCACACCACACAGCACAGGGTGCCAAGTCAGTGGATTATGCTGCAGCCAAAGGGTCCCTCATCAGGAGGCAATTGTAGGCTTTCCTTTGACTTTCTCTTCACATCCCAGGTCATGCCTGCCAAAAGTTACAGTTGGAAGTTAAAAGTGCAGTCCTTACTGGGCATAACTGTGATCCCACTAGGGATTCTACCAGTGTAAGGATTTAAGGACCTGATTCCATGTTCTCTGCCCTTGAGGACACCACTCATTGGGGTCTGCAAAGAGCAGAGAAGTCGCTTGCATAAGGATTTATCTAAAGCAAAGAAAAAATTTATAGGCCCTGGAAAAAGGTCTTAGCCAACTTACTGTTCATTAAATCATTTCCCGAAACAGGTGGGGGTTGGAGGTTTGTTTCAACCCTCATAAAAACAAAGCTACAATTTTAGGAGCTACATTTCCCTGATTTTTTCAAAGCAAAACTCAAATCCCCACCTACCTTGACCTTTTGGATTCTGCAGTGACATCTGTGCTCAGTTACTTGTTGGGCTGCCCAGAAAAACCTGCAAAACATTCCTCTTTCAGCAATTGATTCCAACTTGGCTGATCTAATGCAACAGATAAGTAGGCAGGTCCTACCCCAGTACTGAGACTTGCCTCTTCAAATTATACCTCCCTGGCATCATAAGAGGCAATCTTATAGTGTTTCAATCTTAAAGTGAGTTTCAACAGGTCTTAGTACTTGAGAAAAGTAATCTCACAAAAGAAGAATAAAAGCAGTGGATTTTTTCAAAGAGCAGTTTGCATCAGTATTTTTCTCAGTGATTGAAAATGCTTTGCAAAAGCCGTTAATTGCACCATTTCATATTAAAAATATATTTTTAAATTAGTTTAGGGTTTTCTGTCCTGGCAAATGACAAAACTGAAACTGCCCCTGTATCTTGGAATTGGAAGAGTTTTGCGTTTTCCATCCTCAGAGCAAACATGCAAGTAAGATACAAAATGCATAATCAGAATACTGTCTCCTGAGGAGCACAGATGACTTCAGATCTCTCTAAGCTGCTAAGGAAGATTTTAGAAAGGCAGTGCTTCCATCAAAACCCAGAAGTGTTCAGGCTGGATATCCACGGTAGTCCCCTCAGGTCTGAACTTAAAACAAATCTGTAAAACCCCAATGTCAGCACGACCAGCTTGGTTCAGTCTGCTGTGCTACAACATGTACAATGACCCACTTTTCCTGGAGTGGGAAATCAATCTTTGCATTGTCACACATCAGTTTAGGAGCCGTAGTGGCGGAAGCAGCTTTGTTTCACATTAGCAATTTGGGTGGGCAGAGAAATGGAAAGATGTATGATGGAGATGCAGGGAACAAAATTAAGGACGGTTAAATGAGAATCCATTTCCTGCACGCAGTATCTCTCTGCCCGGGGCACACTGTCTATCAACAATACACAGGTACAAATTGGCCTGGAGATGTATCTCTAACTATCCAAACAGAGCAAACTGCATTAGCAGGATGCTGCTCTGTCGGGCTGGTGCCAGGTGACTGGGGAGCGGGCACATTAGATAGGACAGCAGATTCTTTCCCAGTGGCTGAAGTACTGTGGGGTGATTAAAATAACTGCTACTGGATGAAGAGATTGAGAGGGGACATTATAATACAGTGCAGTTAAACCAGACTGATGGGTGTTCTGCAAATCTTGCAATATTTACCGTTAAGCATAGCGGGCGCTGTCAAGGAGAAAGCAACGGCATCAGCGGCTCTGGTTTGCATGAAACAGTGAATAAAAGATAACTTCTGCCTCTTTTCTTTTCCCCTCCTGTTTGAACAGGTAATATTTTTATGCTGCTTTCATCAACATATGGGCATCACTCCTGGGAAAGAAATGAAAGTCTGTTAATTTATTTGATCAGGCATGAGAAATAATAGAAAACTGAAACGAAGACTCACATTTGTCATGTGTTTGAATTAGTGAAAAGCTGAAGAAAGCAGAAAAATATTGCAAGGAGTTCAAAGACGAGAGGTTTTATTGAATTAGAAAATTATTAATAGCATTAATCATTTCCAAAACAGGCTTCTTAACATCTATAATGACTATATAAAGGATTGGAGAAATAAAAATCAAAGAAAAAAATCAGATATAGAAAGTTACACTTTTTTGTGTGTGTGTTTAGAAAGAAAGGGATGAGTTTTCACTGATTTACAGCCAGCCTGCCTCACTGGAATGGTTAAGCTGTGGGGAAAATACCAGGTGAGGATCTAGCCCTGAAAGGATAATTCAACATGAAGTACCAAGAGGCAGCTACAGTCCAGATTACAAATAATGTGACGTATAAACTTACAGGTTAATTCAGCAGCCCTAGTTCCTCTTCAGCTCCACATAGAAAGTTAAAAAAGGATGCTGAACTTGTAGTTTCATATATTATGTTATTGCAGAGTTAGTATCTCGTAGCCTCAGGACAGATGCCTTCTTCTCAGAGTATGCTGTGAGGCTTTGAAAGCCTTGACAAGGCATCTGAGAACCTGCTGAGAACCAGAGGTGGAGGGCAAGCAAAGTACTATGATAAAAAAAGAGGGTTTTATTTCAATATAATCACAGCAAAGAGCTGTGTTGTTTGATTTATGAAGACATAAAAATAGATGAACTCAGAGGTGCAGGTAGAGAAAAAGGTATGAAAAATGTCGATGGGTGATGCAAACTCTGGGTGAAGTCATATGCTCTGGTCAGAGATTACTGCAGGTATTATAAGATGCACATCTGCAGCTCTACCAGCATTGCAGGAATGAGCACTGATGATGCTCTGAGATGTCCTGGCTGGGCAGTGTCCCCTAGGGTTTTGCACAAGGTTCTTTTGTAAGACCAATACATTTATTTGTTTGTGGTCTAAAAGAGGAATCACCACCTTAGGGCAGCCTTAGGCTAAATCATTCTGAACAGAAACTCTGGTCACATGCTGGGATACCTACTTGAAAGCTTCATCTTAATCTTGAAGTCAAACAGCTCTTTTGTCTCCCAAAATGGCCTCAGAATGGCTGTGTTTGTAGAACTGTGTGTTAGGCCTGGTGGAGGGTCAGACTGATCAGCAAGGTGTTTCTCTCTTCCAAAAGCAACTGTAATTCAGAGTCCTGTGGTACGACCTTGCCAGAGCTCTGTGTGTGTGTCTAATTCAAAAATCCACTCCTGTTAAAAGAAAAGAAGACAAAAAGAAATCTATTCTCAGTGTAGCAGTGAGCAGAGCAAACGTGTTAATGACTGGAGCTGAGGGATGAGCACGAGAGACCCAGTTTACCATCCTGCTTGTCTGTTACCTCTGTCAGTAACTCACCAGGAATACTCTGTCTTTGCAGAATTTAAGCTGAAAACTGAGACAACAGACTTCTGAACTTCCATTGTTGGTGAAAATATTGTTTATAAGTTTCAAA